TAATAAATGCAATTATATGCCCAAATTTCAAAGATGGGCTTAAATGTGGGGAAAAAAGTTTCCCCTCCTTTAAAAAAAAAGATTCCCATAATCCTGTATCATATTTACATCTCAATTCACTCAAAAATCTGTCTGACAAATTCACCTTTCTCTTTTCTTGGTTCTCTCATACTTTATTAAAGCCTCAGAATAAAGAGCTTACCAGAAGGAAATCTCAATACCCAAATCCAAATTGACAGAATGAACAAAAGGATATCAAAAAATACTGCCTATTCAAATCAAATGAAAAAAATTTGAAGGAGAAACACAGCATTTCTCTCCAATGGAAAAACAACACAATTAACTTAACTTTTCCCCTGTGTGGAGTACAACTATTTGTAAACCTAGGAAAGAGTTCAAAATAATCCTTCACTGCTTTATACGAGCAGTGGTACCTTATATATATGTAGAATGTGGTACCTTCTTTTTCTACTTCCTCATTGATTATCTAGATATATGGCTATTCTATGCTGTACTATAATGGAAGAAAGAGAATGTCTTCCCTACTATTATGGCCCAAGTGAATCTTCATTTATTGGGAAGTGGGGTGGGGAGGAAGCTAGGAAGGGAAGAACTGAGAGAATGGCAGTATCTATGAATCTTTACATAGTAGGTTCTTAATACATGCCTATAGATTACTTGTTCCACCCCCACTCCTCCACAACTAAAGACTACATTTATATTGTTTATAACTGAAGTTGCATGTCATGAGTCACAGAGGAAGCAAGCAGCATGAAGGAAGGATTTTGATGAAGAAGGAGGGAAACCTTGACTTATTTAGTGCCCAAATCTACCAGATACAACAGGATATCAGACTTTGAATGTGATTCCATATGAATTATTAATGATTAAATTAGCTAACACTTAATAGCACTCTAAAGTTTTTTTTTTTTACTTGGTTGACACATATCATTTGTTCCTGTGAGAGACATCTTATTTTTATTTCCAGTTTACAGATGAGGAAAATGAGTCTGAGAGATTAGTTATTGGTGTTGTTCAGTTGTGTCTGACTTTTTGTGACCCCTTTAGGGGTTTTCTTGATAAAGATACTGGTGTGGTTTGGCATTTCCTTCTTCAACTAATTTTGCAGATTAAGAAACTAAGGCAAATGGTTAAGTGAATTGCCAAGGTCATACAGTTAGTAAGTGTCTGAGGACAGGTTTGAACTCAGAGGGATAAATCTTCCTGACTCCAGGCCCAGCACTCTATCCATTGCACCACCTAGCTGTCTCTTGAGAGAAGCTGTCACTTAAGAAGTTATATATACTAGGGTCTAATTGCTAGTTTTGGAGGCAGGTTAGCTGAGACAACGAACTTGATCCTGGGTGCGGATTACCTTGCAGCCTTTTCTCCACCCATCATAGCTAAGGGAGAACCTCTCAGACTAATAATTTTAAAACAGGGAATTGAGGCAAGCCTGGGATTTGGAGGTATTTCACCATTGACTCTGGTGTCCTGTAACAGACATGGAAACATATGCTTGTATACAACCTGAGATGGGAGGAATGAAAGGAAATTGCCTCCTAAACCCCAAACTTCAATTTAGAGAGAGTTAGAAAGGAAAAAAAAAGGTAACTGGAGCCTTTCTTTTGCATCTTAGAAGATAACAGGACTTTTTGGCAAGACTCTGAGGTATGTAAATAGAGAAGGCTTCCAGGCGGTCATGGGGTATTCTCAAAGGGCCTCCAGTGCCAGAACCAAAGATTTCAGCTTGGATAGAAGCTGGAGCCCACAGAGATGGTAGCCAACAAGCATGATAATGTACATTTCAGAGAGCAAGACCTGTGAGTCCACTAGAGCAGCACATTTAGCCAAGACTTGTTGGCTAGTGAAGATCAGTCCAGGATCACTACAAGAGGACATCAGAGGCCCAGTAGTGTTTTAGGTATATGTTGTCCCTTCCCACATGCTTTCCAATATGGGGTTCTCATCATATGTAATCTCAGTACGTATTCATTCTTTCCATTGATGGTGCATATGTTTACAGAAAAGTGTTCCCTAAGTTTATGATGAGAATACTCTCACCTGTTACTATGACAGGTCACTAAATGCTTTTGTGTATAAATAATTTTGTCTTTTGTCTGATTATGGAAAGGTAAACCTATGAACTATAGTTTTAAGAGGATAGACTCACAAAAAATACTGAACCTAGGGTAGCTATCCTTTGGAGGTCCTGATATTCTAGCTAATAAAATTACTTGGAAATGTCCTCTATGGTGCTTTCTTTAAGGAGGGTAAAACCCCCCTTTCTCAGGAGCACTTCTAAGTGATTGCTTTCATGAAGTTTAGACAGGTTAATAGGCACAGGGATAATGATAATTGCTATGTTAAAAATACATAAACCTGAAAATAATGCTATACACCAACCCAATTTGGAATAAAGAGGAAGGAAAATTAGACCCCTTTATTAAAGAATGACTTATTTGCTTAAAAGTCTATGTTGTGATAGTAATCATAATTGCTTAATTTCATGTTCCTCCCCCTAGCATTAATTCCAGAATTACTAGTCATGCATTTAAAAAAATCTCAGTCCCAAAAGCTAAATTTGCATGCATGGTTCACAAAGTGACTTTAAATTGATAATGATATCATCAGATGCAACACAGAGACAGATTATGCCCTATGAGAAAGTCAGACTGCAATAATAAAAACTGATCTACTTGAGAGCTCAAAGAATTTGAGTTTATGCTTTAAATGCTAAATAGTCATCCTTTACTTCTTATCTCCCTTAGGAGTTCACCTGTAAGCATGGTAACAAGCCTGGGCAGAGAAAGACTCAATAATCTACTGAGGACCCTCAGCATGAAGTTCTTTGATTTTATGATGACTCACTTCTATTTGTGGGAAAAGTACAAGAAGAGGATATAGTTAGTTTCTGTTTCTCAGAGGAAAGTGCACTTCTTGATGTCTTTTCTGATTAAGCTATCTCTTTCTTCAGAGTTGGGGCTTGAGTTATAATCATTTGCTTTCACAAAGATATAAATCTTTGGTAATCCAGAAGTGAAGAATACCTTATTGACAAATATGAAACATAATAGCAAAATGAAACATTTGACAACTTGTTTTTCTACAGAGGAGGTTGAATATATGAAAAGAAAATTAATTATTTGACTAAGTATCTAGTCTATGAAACAGATGAGAATAGGGCCTGGGATTCCTTGCTGTGGACTACTTTCCAATAACCTATCCTATACTACTCAGTGATGCCATGTAACAGAAAGTAATTTCAGGGGCACACATGTCTGCAAACAGCTTGCAATAAATTCCCACAGCAATCATTCTCAGATTAGAATTCTAGACTAGTAGTTCCTTTATATCTCTACATTTCCTCATGACAAAGTATCTTTTCAATGGCATACAAAGCAAAATAATGAATAAACTAATCTATATAACATCCAATTGATGTCTTCCTAAACAGAGAAAGGTAATATAGTAATAATGATAATAATCATAGTGAGCATTTATAGCACCTTAAATGTTTACAAAGCACTTTATAATTTTTTCTATTTCATCCTGACAAGAACCCTGTGAGGTAGGTGCTATTCTTATCCCCATTTTACAGATAAGAAAATTGAACTCAAGTCTTCTTGATTCTAGACCCAGAATTCTATTCAGTATGACACCTAGCTACCTTTAGGCACTATATATGTACATACCTCATGATGAAGTGAAATTAATATTGGATTTAGAGCCAAGGAATGAGTTCAAGTGTACTTACTAACCATGTGATAGACAACATCCCAAATATGCTTCTAGTCTCTTCTTTAAGGCTTTCAGGTGGTTGAAGAAGACACTAATTATTACCTGTATAACCTTAAACTAGTTACCTTACCTCTCTGCATCTCGGTTTCCTTATCTGTAAAATGAAGGGTCTGGACTAGATGGTCTATGTGGTCTCTTTGAACTCTAGATCTATGATGATCTCCTATGGAATCCTATTCCATATTTGAGCAGCTTTAATCATTACAGAATTTCTCACTTCCCCCTACCCCTATTCCTCTGATGCTAAATTTTCCTATTTTTTGAAATATATTTCCATTGGTACTAATTTTGCCTTCTGGTAGCAAGCAGAACAGATCTAGTGTCTTCCAAATATTAAGGATAGGATCTGGACTTGTAATTTCATTGATTCAGAGAATCACCCAGGAATGGTTGAGGAAAATGCCACTATCATTATAGGGTTAGTATCTTCTTTAAAATGTATCGTCTTAGAGAACTGCTTAAAACATTGAGAGTTTTAATAACTTGCCAGGCTGTGTCAGAGGTTCTAAAGAAGACTCCTTTTCAACTCATCTCTGCTGCCTCTCATATACCTTCTAAATGATGACCTTTAAAATACTTGGGGGTGGGGAACCTAGCTCCCCACCCAAGTCTTCTTTTTATATTAAAGCCTCATCTTGCCAAAACCTTTATCATAGGGATCAGACTAACACTAGGTGAAAAGAAATAATGCTGTAATCCTCTCTGTTGTGGACCAAATTCTTGCTCTATTGTAGTTTGGAGGATGAATACCATCCTTGCCTATGAATCACTATTCTTTTTTTTTCCCTTAAATGAAGCTAGTATTACTTTAGTAATTAACAAAGAAAAAGTGAGGTTGAAGTTATTTTGTACCTTTTCCTTTGACCATTTAAGCATATGAAGGATAGATATTGTCAGGATCCGTACTATGGTATTCATGGGCAATAATTCTACTGCAGAAATCTCTAATGTCACTTCCTTTTAGAAATTATTATGTACTTTGAACAAAATGGAAACACAAACTTCACTGAAAAAAGCCTTAAGATCTACAAAACTGAAAAATAAATTTTAAGTAGCTGTAGTAATATTAAATTCTTACCATATAAAGAAATAAAAGCAAACAATTCTTCCTCAAGGGAATGAAGAAAGGGCTGATGTCATAATAGTGGCCTAAGAGACTCAGAACTATTGACTTGTTCCTTAGGCATTGTCTGGGAGAAGCGGGCATGAAGACTTGCTCTGGAGAAGATGATGACAGAGATTGTCAGAAGACTCCTCTGTTTTCCTGCCTTGATAGTGGTACTCCTTATCTGATTGAACTTGGACCTGACTTTAAGGTCCTTAGCAATAAGATGACAAAAGCTAAGATATTAAGCCTCAACGCATAGGAGGTGCTTGATGAAGCCGTACTGCATCACAAATGAAGCTAACTCAATGAATAATAAGAAGGTGGATTGTGGGCATAAGGAGACTGCCTTATATTGGTCAAAAATTATTTTCACAGAAGAAATGACATGAAAGGTATCATTTATTATGACTGGAAAAGCATGTTTTAGTATTACAGCAAGGGTAAGAAATTGTATGTGAAGGATAAGAAGGAAGGGTAATATGATTATGGTTATGATTATTAAGTAGTCATCACGTAATTATTTGTTACATTATATTATACTCAAAATTAAATTAAAAAACCCCTGCTTAGTAGGTATCATTATTATTATATTATTATATTTGCATTTTATAGGTGAGGAAACTGAGACTGAGAGAGGTTCAATGCTTTATGTAGGGTCACACAGCTAGGATGTGTTTGAGACAGGATTTGAATTCAGGCCTTCCTGTCTCCAAGTCCATGGCTTTATCCATTACATCCTAACTGTACCTGATGGTATTTAGTATGATCATTCTCCAACACTCAGACTCATCTTAAGAGTTCTATGGAAAAATGTAAAAATTCACTTAAAATATTGGTCTTACGGATAAACCTTCTTCATCAGGGTACACTTTATTCTTTGTATGTTGATAATATTCATTATAATAACAAGACATTATTATATAAAGATGAATAGATATGGATTTAACAACTCTAATATATTAATGAAAATATTTAATTTTATGCACTATAGACATTTTAACATAAAAAGCATATCCATTTAATTGATAAATTGCATGATATGTCCTGAGAGTCAATACTGCTCTATGCCATTTCACAAATTCTGCCAGAATTTCATTTAATATCTGCTGGAAAAAATAGTTATTCCCTCTTTTATTTAATATAGTTGTTATTGCTTATGGAATAAAGGGAGTTAGACTAAATGACTTGTTCAGCCTTAGAACTTATGATTCTACAGTATGAAATACAGTTAAATTCAAAGCTGTATCCTCTAAACAACCTACAAATCTCTATTCAGCAATATCTTTCAGTGCAAGGAGAATAATCCAACATAAAATTCCTGCTAGGTGTTCCCTGTACATAATATTTCATCTATTTCATACAGATGGTTTGCCATATCTGGAAAACATTGTTCTCATCCCTGCCTCAAAATGTCCCTATTGTCCTTCAAAAGTGTAACCTTCACATCCTACATGAGATCTTTCTTAACTCCTCCCAGTTACTGATATTCTCTCATTCTTGGAAAATATATACATATAGATGTGTACACACATGTATGTATATATTCACACACATACGTCTATATATACACACGTTTATACATTATAACCTATCATCTATCCACCTATCTGAATGTTTGTGTTTACTTATATGTATATTTATTATATCCTTAATAAATTGTAAACTATTTGAGAGCAGGGCTGTTTCATTTTCAACTTTTTATCCTTAGTGACTAGCATACTTCCTTGCTAATGGCAGATGTTTTACAAATATTTGTTTAGCTCAATTAAATTAAAGATATTACTATTATCTGATTTTCTGTTATAAAGGAAAATCATTTTTTCCCACACAGAATAAGATTTACCAGAGATTGTAGCCACATAAAACATGTTTCCTTATTTTCTCAGCATTTGATGTCTTTTATTTTCTTTCCTCTCACTCTTTCCATTTCATATCCCTCAAATTTTGCTACTTGTTTTCTTCATACTTTTTTCCTATTTTCATACAAAACATTTTTCTTGATTCTTACCTTTCTCTCAGGTATTCATTTCCCTTTTCTTTGTCGCAAATTATTTGTTCCCCCACAATCCTTTCCTTAACTCTGGATTTGAGGTAATGTTGGTAGAAGGAAGATGTTGCCAATACACACTTTCAAAGAGATACAACATAGTGCAGAGAGACAGAAAAAGGCAAAGGTTTGGGGTTGGATGGGTGAAGCTCCTTAAAGGTACTGTTTTCTCACTGGTTCAGATGAACCAGACTCAGATAAACTTGGATCAGATGTGGAGAAAATTAGAGTGCCTATGTTTTTTCCAGTCACTGTGCTAGGTTCTAGGGATATAAACACAAAAACAAAATAACCCCTGCCCTAAAGGAGCTCACACCTTATCTTATTGGATATTATTTGTCATTGATATCTTCTCTCTGTTAAGGACTGAAAATTACTGCAAAGCAATAGTAAATTACTCAGAATTTCTTCACTGCATGGACAGATAGCCCCAAGACTTGAAAATGCATGTTTTCTATAGACAGGACATGAATGCATAGGCTAAATGCTGAAATGCAACAATTTTTAATTCAACATTTTCCTTTTTAAATGTTTGAATATGGGTATAATTGAATTGTCAAGGAATAACAAATTCTTTCTTTTTTAATTTTTTTATATAAATTTATTTATTTTTAGTTTTCAAAATTTACTTCCACAAGATTTTGAGTTCCAAATTTTCACCCATTTTGCCCTCCCCCACCCCAAGATGGCATGCATTCTGAATATCCCTTCCCCTAGTCTGCCCTCTCTCCTATCTCTCCCCCCCTTCTCTTATCCCCTTCCCCTTCTACTTTCCTGTAGGGCAGGATAGACTTCCGTACAGGTATTTTTTATTTCCCAGTTGCATGTGTAAACTTTTTTTTAAAAAATGTGTTTTTAAAACTTTGGGTTCCAAATTTTCTCCCTTCCTCCCTCCCCACCCACCCTCATTGAAAAGGCAAGCAACTTAATGTAGGTTATACATGTGCAGTTATGCAAAACACTTCCATAGTAGACATGTTGTAAAAAACTAACTCTTTCCCTTAATCCTATCCTGCCCCCCCATTTATTCTATTGTTTCTTTTGACCCTGTCCCTCCTCAGAAATATTTGCTTCTAATTACCCCCTTTCCCAATCTGCCCTCCTCTCTATCCCCTGGCTCTCTTGTCCCCTATTTTCCTGTAGGGTAAGACAGATTTCCATATTCAATTGAATGTATATTTTATTTCCTCCTTAAACCAAATCCTAAGAGAATAAGATTTACTCCTTCCCTCTCACCTTCACCCATTTCCCCTCCAGTATAAGACCTTTTCTTTTGTGGTAATTTACCCCTTTCTACCTCTCCCTTTCTTCTTCTCCTAGTATAATCCTCTCCCATCCCTTAATTTTATTCTCCAGATATGACCCCTTAATCTTCAACTCAGTCTGTGCCCTCTATCTATCTATCTATCTATCTATCTATCTATCTATCTATCTGTCCGTCCGTCCGTCCGTCTCCGTCCGTCTGTCTGTCTGTCTGTCTGTCTGTCTGTCTATCTATCTATCTTCCTACATATAATTTTTTTTCCATCCAACTACCCTAATACTGACAAAGGTCTGATGAATTCTAAATATCATCTTTCCATGCAGGAATGTAAACAGTTCAACCTTAATAAGTCTCTTATGATTTCTCTTTCTTGTTTACCCCTTCATGTTTCACTTGAGTCTTGTATCTGAAAGTCAAATTTTCTATTCAGCTCTGGTCTTTTCATCAAGAGTGCTTGAAAGCCCTCTATTTCACTGAATGACCATTTTGTCCCCTGAAGGATTATACCCAGTTTTGCTGGGTAGGTGATTCTTGGTTGTAATCCTATCTCCTTTGCACTCCAGAATATTATATTCCATGCCCTGTGGTTCTTTAATGTAGAAGGTGCTAAATCTTGTGTTATCCTGATTGTGTTCCCACAATATTTCAATTGTTTCTTTCTGGCAGCTTGTAATCTTTTCTCCTTGACCTGGGAACTCTAGAATTTAGCTACAATATTCCTAGGAGTTTTCCTTTGGGGATCTCTTTCAGGAGGAGATTGGTGGATTCTTTCAATTTCTATTTTGCCCTCTGGTTCTAAAATATCACGGCAGTTTTCCTTGATAATTTCTTGAAAGATGATGTCTAGGCTCTTTTTTTGATCATGGCTTTCAGATAGTCCAATAATTTTTAAATTCTCTCTGCATCTATTTTCCAGGTCAGTTGTTTTTCCAATGAGATATTTCACCTTGTCTTCTATTTTTTCATTCTTTTGGATTTGTTTTACAGTGTTTTGATTTCTTATAAAGTCACTAGCTTCCAATTGCTCTATTCTAATTTTTAAGGAAGAATTTTCTTCAGTAATCTTTTGGACTTCCTTTTCCATTTGGCCAATCTTGCTTTTTAGGGCATTCTTCTCCTCATTGGCTTTTCAGACCTCTTTTTCCATTTGGGTTAGGCTATTTTTTAAGGTGTTAATTTCTTCAGCATTTTTTTCGGTCTCCTTTAGCAAGCTGTTGACTTGTTTTTCATGATTTTCTTGCATCACTCTCATTTCTCTTCCCAGTTTTTCCTCTACTTCTCTCACTTGCTTTTCAAAATCCCTTTTGAGCTCTTCCAAGGCCTGGGACTGATTCATATTTTTCTTGGAGGCTTTGGATGTAGGAGCTTTGACTTTGTTGTCTTCTTCTGGTTGTATATTTTGATCTTCTTTTTTACCAAAATAACATAATATTCTCTGACTCTTTTTGCACTGCTTGCTCATGATCCCGGCCAATTACTTGAGTTTTAAACTCTTTGTTAAGGTAAGCATCTGCTTCCAATGTGGAGAATGTATTGTCCCAAGCTTTGGGGGCTTGTACAGCTGTTTTCAGAAGTACTCGTAGGGACCTGTAATTTTCAGTTCTTCCACGGTGGTATGATAAGGGGTGAAGTGTTTACTCCTTTCCTGGCCTGTGCTCTGCTCTATTAGTGACCACAAACACTCCTTTCTATTCTGGAACTGTGGGGAGGGTTTTCTCTTTACAGCCACTACAAGCTTCACCACACCAGCACTCCTCCTCACCCCAGTATTGCCACCCAGAACTGTGACCCTGATCCAAGAATGGGCAGAGCAAGAAATTCCCGCCTCAGCACTGGCACAGAGATTCCTGCAATCTCCCTCTGATCAGCCACTAGATTTTCCCCTCAGTCTGTGGGCTGGAAGCTCAGGAGGTAGCCCCCACCCTGGGCCATGCTCAGGGAATGGAGCTGAGACCACCTTACTCTCTCTAAGCACCACAGAAGCAGACTTTTCACACTGACCTTCTAAATTGTCTTTGGAGTTCTTGGGTTGAGAAGTCTAGAAACTGCCGCAGCTGCCCGCAATTCAGTCCTCTGAGGCCTGCTCCAGGTTCTTGGTGGCCTGCCTGAACTTTGCTCTTCTCTCTTCCTGGTGTGATATACCTTTCTTATCAACCATCCAGGTTGTCTTGGGCTGGAAATTTGCTTCACTCTGTCTTTTTGTGGGTTCTGATGTTTTAGAATTTGTTTAGATCCATTTTTTTTACAGGTATTTGGAGAGGTTTAGGGGAGAGCTCAAGCAAGTCACTGCTTTCACTCTGCCATCATGGCTTCACCCCCCAAATGCTTTCTTAATAGCATGCAATAAAACACAATACCTGGACAAATGTCAGGGAGTAATTGACCAAATATTATAAAATGTAGAATTAATTTTTGTAGAAAGGAATAATCAGTATGCTACATGTTTTCACAAGACAGCTAACAAAGTCCCTTATAAGGACATCTTTCTAATAGGAAAAAAGGGGTTATCAGATGGGGATAAGCAGCTTTCAGCTTAGGGAACTTTCAGAGAAATCATTTAGCCATTAGAACTACTACCCTCCCCAAAATATTTATTTCCTCTGCCACAGCTAAAAATATTTACCTGTATCTTTACCATTTGGATATAAGTGACATTAAGAGAGTGAGGGCATATAAAACAAACATTTTACTTATGAAATTCTTGCTTGTCTTGATGCCACTGTGGATAGGTCCTATGATAGCTATTTATTCATCTGCACTATATCTTCTTCATTTACTTGTTAAAGATCAATATTTTCTTGGCAAAGCTTACTACCAACCAATATATGCTTACTGGTCTGTAATTTTGGGAATATATTTGTTTTAATCTTACAAACTACTTTTTAAAGTAATTCAAGACACAAGAAATCTTTCTGTTCCCTCTCAGATTTACTAATATGGCTACAACCTAATACTATTTTATGAACCATCAGGTGGAAAACATAAACACCAGAATATCCTAGTCATATTCCTTAGATAGAGGCCTTCTCTATCTTCATGAAGTAAATGAGCTGCAGCATCGCTGATCCCTTTACTCAGACCTCTTAATGATGGATGTAAGCTCTCTATACTATCCATTTGGCTGCACTGAATCAGCTGTGTTATGATCCATTCATGTTGTTCATTGAGACAAGTCCCAAACTGGAATATAGAGGATATTAAATTTCCTTTGAGTCTTTTGCTTGATTATCATTAGACCCTGGGCAAACAGCCCAGTGCATATTTTCATTGCTGATTTATCCATCTCTGAACCTCTTTGTTAGTGTAGACATAAGCATTTTTTTAAAGGACTTGGTTTCAATGTTGAGCTGCTGTAAGAGTCATATCTGCTTTTCTGCTGCTTTGCAAAAACACATTATCTCTCAGGAGAGCAGTCTGAAATTAATTCAAACTAGAGTTCAACATAAATGAACAAAGAAACTGAACATGTGACTATTTTTTTTTCTTTTTAGTTCAAAGGCTAAAATTTCAGGATAACCATTTTCTTCCTTTGCAATATCAAAGTGTTCTGTCTTTTTTAGTTGACAGCCCTAAAGTATAACATCTGTAAAACCATAAGCATGTAGATTAATATGTACTATCCCTTAACGACAGAACTGCAAATACACAGGAAACAGAATTTTGTTCTACATAAAAGTATATTTATATGTATGTATGTTCATATACATATATACATACATTGTTCTGCACATATGGGTATATGTATGTAAACACACACATACACACCTGCCCCTCTAGATTCCATAAAAATATTAATAAATAAAACTGTGCAATGACTAATTTCTTCAGGGATCCTCTCTGCACAAGTATTAGAAACAAGATTACCCCAATTAAAAATGCTTTTTCAGTTAGAAAATAGAAATGAGAATTTAGTTTGGTGACATTCTATGAGGTTTTAGAAAAAGGTAGCCCTATGATTTACAAAGACCTTTAAAGATGGATAAAATCTTGAAAATCTGCTTCTCCTACCTATTTAGTTTAAGAATTCCCTCTACTATGTCTTTGAGAGATCGACATCTAGCCTGTGATTATTTAGACTACATCTACAAACATAATAAAATATTTTCATTAACCTTGTGGGTCAAGTCAAGGCATAAGCCACCTCTCCCAATTAAAACAAAAACCAAGGAAAATCAATCCAAAATAAAGAGAATTCTCCAACAAACTTTTTGACTTCTTATTTGACCACCTGGAATCAAGACAGTAAGCCTAGTGGAAATAGCTTAAGTTTGTGTCCATTTGTGATATCTATACTACACCTAAGGAAATTACAAATGAGGGATAATGAATAGTTTCCTAGATTATAATTCTTTGTCATTGTTCTCATTATATAAACTAATTAATAAATGTATTTGTAGGGATTCATCTATACATGTAACTGCACCTTGAATAGAAGTAGAAATCATTTTAAAAAGCTTGTTATCCATGACTTTATCTAAATCACCGAATATGTTAAATATTACTGGACAAAATATGGATCCCTGTTAGCATTTCTTTGGGGACTTCCTGTCAAGCTGTCATCTAATTATTAAAAACTATTCCTTACAACTAGTTACCTATTTCCAAATCCATCTCATCTTATTATTCTCTCTCCCACAACTCTCAATCTTCTCCAAGCTAACAATATGAAATACTTTATCAAATTCTTTGCTTAAAATGGAGCTAAAATATGTATCATTTCCCTGATCTATCCTATCAAAAGTATAGAAACCCTAAGAAAAAGAGAAAATAAGAGTAGTCTATTGTGACCTTCTGTATTATTTTTTTGTAATCAGTTTCCTTTTCTAGTTGTTCACTAATCACCTCTTCAATAGTTCTTTTTAGAATTTTCCATGGAAACAAATTCAAGTTCACTGGCTTATAGTTTTTAGAATCTGTTTCCTTCCTTCCCTTCCCTTCCCTGTTTTTTTTTTAAATTGAAGAAAATGTTTTCTTTTCTCTGGAATATAGTACCTTTCCAATTTTTACAGTCTTTCAAATATCACAGACAAACTGAAGATGTTTATTTCTTTCAGTATCAGAAAATATAATTTATTGGGGTTACATGATTTGAATTCATCAAGGACAATTAGGAGGTCTCTCACTATATCCCTACTTATTTTAGATATCTACTCCCCATAAGCCATTTTAATTCTGTCATTTCCGGTACAAAGGTAATTTTCCTTTTAAAAAATATACAGAAGCAGGGGACAAAAAAGATGAAGAAGTGTGTCATGACAGAATACATGCGATGTTACATTCAATGGGGATTATCCAAACTACCAAAAATTCAAGCTTGGGCAGCATGGTGGTATCATCAATTACATTTTCTATTCAAAAATGACAAATTACAGGAAGTAAACCATGATGACTTTCTTTAGTTTTCAAAGCACTGCCCATGTACCCTATAAAAAATGGAAATCCTACTTTTAGAAATCTTTTGCCTTCCAAAACTCTATAAAGCCTTCTAAGAAAGTTGTCATAAATCTTCTTCAGACACACAAACTAGTAAATGGTGACACTGCTTCCATGCATACAAATATCAGTGAGATGCTATTTTTATTCCTTACTATATTTTTGGTTGTCAGATTACTTCCTTCTGCACCTTAACCTTTCTCTGTCTCTGGTGCTTTGTTTCTGTCTCTCTTTATCTCTCTTCAATGAATTGCATGATGAGGGGAAAAAACATCAAACTTTTTTTCTTGATAAACAAGATCTGCATATCCTCTGAAACATATTTTTATATTCTAGACTTGCAGAGTTGGAAAAGACTTCAGAATTTACCTAGATCAATACATACTCAAAAGAATGAGTCTGCTCTACAGTATCACTAAGAATATTTATACATTACCACAGTCAACCAGCAAGCATTTATTAGATGCCTACTATGAGCCAGTTGCTGTGCTAGATTCTGGGGGTATGTTAGGTAATGGTAAGATCTGTGTACGTTGTTTGGGGTTGAGAAGGTTCTGTGATATTGATAGAATTTCACACAGGAAATTCCTAGGCTACAGCATACGAATGAGTATAAGTCACATGGGAATGAGGGGATACTGCTTGTCAGTAACCCCTACCATGTAGAAAATGGTGCTTTATTTTATGTTTGTTTGTTACATGTTTCATGGACAACTAAAGACTTTGTCCTGTTGATGTGGTACCTGCCATTTCTTTTAGCATATAAACATTTCGCCTCAGGCAGCCCTTGTCAGACATAATGGCTTCTCAACACCTTTTGGGCTACAGAAAGGGACACTCATACTTGGTTTCAGGAAATAAAAGGGAGACAAGAGAAGGTCTTGGCATTCAGATGAAGAAGCCCTGAACCAGAAACTGCATTATCCACACAATGTCTTGCTGTGTGTTGGACAACTGTATCCTTAAAAACTAAGCCACCTTCTTTTATAGCCTTTTAGTTGTGATGATTCATTCGTCTCTTTTGTTTTAAGGTGACTGAAAAGTGTCCTTTTATCATGGGATAAAGGGATAGTAGGCACATTTATTTATAACATTTTAAAGTTTACAAAGTGCTTTATAAATATCATCTCATATTTTATTCTTATAGAAACACTGGGAAGTAGGCATATGATTGTGCTTATTTCACATACGAGGGAATTAAGACAGACAATGGTTAACACAGTCCGGTGTTATACAGTTAGGAAGTGTCTAAAGAAGAGTTTGAACTTGGGTCTTCCTGCCTTTAGGTTCAGTGTAACCTGGCTGCCTTAAAACAAAACAAAAGAAAACAAAACCAACCCTAAATCTTTATACTTAAGGAGATGTACCTTCTACTTGAGGATGGTGGGCACAACATTTAGATAGATTAAAGGAATATACAACATACGCACAAATAAATCTCTGGGAGGCACCAGTAACTGGAGGATCTAAATAAATTTGCTGTAGGAAATAACACTTGACCTTAACTTTGGAGGAAGGTGCAATTTCTAAGAAGCAGAGGTTGGCATGAGACGCCAAGTGTGAGACCGAGCTTGTACAAAGACACAGCATCAGGAGATGGAATTTTGCTCATGAAGAACAGAAAGAAGATGAGTTTAGCTAGAGCAGGGGTGGGGAACCTGTGGCCTAGAGGTCACATATGGTCTTCTAGGTCTTTAAATGCAGCCTTTTGACTGAGTCCAAGTTTTACAAAATAAATCCTTTTATTAAGGAGATTTGTTCTGTGAAGTTTGGATTCAGTCAAAGGGCTGCACTTGAGGACCTAGAGGGCCACAGGTTCCCCACCCCTGGGCTACATTTCACACTGAAAAAAGTGGGGAATAATAGGTAATAACCCTAGAAAGGTCATAGATACATCAAGATTATGAAGGACTTCAGATACATTTATCTTGAAAGGGAGTCACCACAGCTTTTTTGAGTAGGGGAATAGTATTGCCAAAAATAGCTTTAGATAGATCATTATGTGAACTGTATCAAAAATGGATTAGAAAGTGGAGGCATTTGATTCTGGGATATCAATTAGGAAGTGATTGAAATAGTCCAAATGAGAGGTGATGAAAATTTGCACTAAGGTTCAAGATTCTGGAGTTATAAGTTTTAACAACTATATTTTCTTCTTCAAGAAAAACAGAACTTTACAAGAGGTATAGTCTGGGAGTGGATAAAGAAAGAAGATAATAAGTTTTGCTAAATTTGAGGTGTCAATGGGACATCCAATGGGAAATTTCTAAAAGACAATTGGTGCTGCTGGACAGAGAACCTCAGGAGAAAAATCAAAGTCAAATGATTATATGTGTGTGTGTGTGTGTGTGTGTGTGTGTGTGTGTGTGTGTGTGTGTGTAGTCTTTTGCACAATGATGATACTTGAAACCATGGTAGTGAGGGTACTTATCAGTTTGGCTTGAGGAATTCCTGTGGTGGAAAATTCCAAAGATTGGATAAACAATTCATTTCAATTCAATTAAAAAAAAAACAGACATTTACAATGAGGGCCCGAGATACCAAAGTGTATAGAATGCTAAGGCTGGAGTCAGGCTATATTTTCAGTGTGAGCATTTACCTCTTGGAAATTAGCAAATGCTACAAATCTGGGATTGGTTTATTGTTCTATTGATTGCTTAGACTAAATAAAGTCATGGAGAAAATATTAATAATGAAGATTAAACATAAAAGTGTGTGGTGCATACATTTTTAGAGTGCCTATTATTAAACATTTACCAGAATATCCTTAGTTGAGTTTTTCCCTCGCCTTAATCAGTGGAGCAAACTATTAAGGAATTTTCCTATTACTTCATCCCAATGTTTATTTAATCCCTTAATCTATTTGAAAGAATCATAGAACTTTGGCTTTTGGATGAAAGATAAAAGACACCAAAAAGGAACCATCTTGTAGCCGGCTGACAAGATCAAATCACACCTCTTGGGCTACATAAAAATATAAGTATAACATAATAATAACATCAGCATCTAACATTTGTTTATAGCTTACTACAGGCCAGGCATTGTGCCTAAGCACTTTACAATTGTTACCTCATTTAATCCTCACTACAACCCTGAGAGTTAGGTGCTATTATTACCGCCATTACATAGATAAGAGAACTGTGCAAACAGAGGTTAAATGATTTGCCCAGGGTAGCACAGCTAGTAAGTGTCTGATGCTGGATTTGAAATCAGGGCTGTCTTGACTCCAGGCCCAGTGCTCTAAATACTGTACCACCTAGCGGCCTCTACTATAGTACATAATAACATATAATAAGACAGTTTAATTGTGAGCTGATCTCAGCAGTAGGCCAGGAGGGTGTTAAGTAGGCACTTTTGCCCACACAAGAGATTAGTAAAAAGGAGTAGGAGTGGGGATAGGCCAGTGGCAATTACACTTCTCTTCTTTCTCCCCACCCAACTCCTCTGATTGACCATGTGAATAGAGAGAAGGGCCCAGTAGGACAAATTGCATCCAGAAGATGCACTGAGGAAAAATATAAACACACCTGAGAGAAGAAGCAAGTTCAAAAAGCATGACTCCTTGTACCAGAGAAGACTGCTAACTAAGGACTTAATTAAAACCTTCCAGTAATGAAGAGTTATGAGTATAACCTGTGGTCTTATCTGTTCTTTAGGTGAATACACTTATATTACACGTTAAATTTGAGTCCACTGTCTCTAGGGAACTTGTGTGCGTAAGGAGAGAGTGTGCCCCTAATTTGGAGGAATATTTTCTTCTTACTATGTCATATTAGTAAATACCTGTGCTAAAAGCAAATTGAGGCTACTAGCTGATAACTGATTGGAAAGCCACAGCTGGAAGAGGCTCACAAATAAAAGTAATAGAAATCAATTCTCTCAGGAACCCGAAGGAAAGTAGAGGTTAGCCACCTTCTTGTGATTTGGCACCCCATAGAAGTGATAGGTGGGGAAATTGTTCTGAAGGGAGTTCTACACCAGCAGGTATGCTATATATCTGTAAAAAAGAATATTCACAAAGTAATTCCAAGAAGAAGAGAACATTATCAACTTGTGAAAGTCAGGGAGCCTCAGGAAGGCTTAGGGTAGCAGGTAACAATTTATGTTTCTCCTACTTTCACTTGAAATCTGCCTCCTTTTGACTTTCAATTATTTTTATAGTTCAACATCTCTGAGATAAAATAGAATGAGTTTGATCCCTTTTCCATTTGATACTTCAAATGTATTATAGATGGTTATGCTCTATCATGAAGCTTGTCTCAAGAATAAATCTTTCCCCCCCATTAATCTTTATTAAGCATGAATACTTTTTCAATCTTCTTTACTATTTAGGACTGTCTCTTCTGGATGTTCTCAAGATCACTAATATCTGTTCTAGAATAACTGGGCAAAAAAAAAAATCCAGGTATGATCTGACTAGGAAGAAGCAAACAAATTATCACTTTTCTAGCTTCATTTCTCCATTCATTGATCAAGAGCTTTTTTGGACTCTGTTTTGTCAGCTAATACATTGGCTATCTCTTAATGACTCAGATTTATGTAATAAACATGACATTTATACTTTTATTGAAGTTGTTGATAAAGATATTGAACATAACAGAGTCTAAGCCTGAGCTCTTTTGTCCTCCATTATAGACCTATCTGCCATAAATTATGACTATAACCAGTCAAATTGTTCTAAAACCATGCATTCTGCACAAATGGATGTCAGGAAATACTTTGTCAAATGTCTTGATTAACCCTGTCATAAAAGGAAATGAGGCTAGTCTGACGTGACTTGTTCTTAATCAATCTATGCTAACTGGTAGTAATAATATTATTTCTTTCTAGATGATCACAATCCATCTCGGTCCTAAGAAATATAGATTAAGTCTTTCTATTCAGAAAAATTCTCTTGACTACTAATGAAAATTCAATTGCTTTATGCCAAAAATGATGTTCAAATTCCTTTTGCATTCTATGATAGGAAGTATGTCACTAGTGGCTAGAGTATTGGGACTGAAGTCAATAATACTTGGGTTACATTCTCTCCTCACTAGTTCAGTGATCTAAGACAAGTCACCTGTTCTTTCTAAGACTAATTTTCCTCATCTCTAAAATTAAAACAGTAATTGTACTCATCACACAAGTCTGTTATGAGGATCAAAAGAAAGACTGCATGCAAAATGCTTTGCCAATCTTCCAGCTCTATAGAAATGTGGTACTATATAAAGCCAACAATTACACTTTTGTTCTTCCTTTGGTAACTGGGTTTTGCTTCCTAAGCTACATAGAAGGCAGAAGTAATCAGAATTGTCCACCATTTAAAAGCCATTTATCTTCATCATCCTCATTCTTTCCAACTTCCGATGATATTGCTGACAGTATTTTATATTAATAATGGATGTGAGGCTAGTCATCCTTTTTATTGTCACTAATTAAAAATATACTGTAAAATCCCTTTGTCATTAGGATCAAACAAATAATCACTTTTTGGAAGTAATGTGAATGTCTCCTATTTACATGCGAAGCATATCTGCTCTTTGGGTAATGTTGGGTTCAGTTTTGTAAAATAGATTTGATGTTAAAATACCGTAAGAAAGGCTAACAACTCCTCCAAATATGTGGGAGGATTATACCATGGTTGTTATTGCCAACTTGGAATGTAGTTCACTCTGGAAAGGTGGTGGAGAGATGTTTCAAGAGACAGATGATGGACTTAATTTTGTTTCAAAAAATAGCAATGATTGATCAAATGAAAGAGAAAAAGAAACGTCAGTAACTAAATCAAAGGAGCTAATATTGTCTAAAAAGTCACTAGGCACTGGGGAAGACCACACTGTGGAAAGAAGAAGCCATGTTCTGAATAAAAGTTTGTTGGACACTGAGTGTAATGGGAATTTTAGAGCATGCCCAGATTGTCAAACATGAAGTCACCCTGCTTCTGAGAGAGGATATCTTATATTTCCCTATCATA